ATAATAATAATAATAATAATAATAATAATAATAATAATAATAATAATAATAATAATAATAATAATAATAATATTGATATTAATGTTATTTATTAATGGAAAGAAAAATTATTTAATTTTATGATGAAATTTGTTCTTACATGCTTCAACAATTCTAAAATAGTTTGGGGCAATTTTTTTTGAAACAGAGATATCCCATTCAGAAATTTCGATCCATCCGCCACACTTTGTCACTCTTTAGAAACATCCACAGGTTAGAAAAATGCTAAAATTACTCATCAATAATTAATTAATCGATAAAAAATAAATTCAAGTCACCTGATAATTTCAGATAATGCTTGTTCCCATTCGATATCAGAGAAAGTACTCATCATATCACCAATTCTAGCATAATCAAATTCTTCGTCTTCAAATGGCAGTGACAATATATTTGCTTTGAAGAAATTGGCGTTCCTAGGAATAATTGGTGGAGGAACTGTATTTGATTCTAATCCATAAAATAATGTATGTGGATATTTTTCTGCCTGCAAATTTTAGCAAAATTTTGTTATTATATCACGTATATTATATATGTATTGTTGATATGTAGAATATTACCATATCTAAAATCCATGATCCCGATAAACATCTTTACAAACAAAACATCGATTAATTAATTAGTTGTGATAAATAATATACATATATAAATAATAATGTATACATAATAATAATATGTTTACCCAATATCTAATACTTTAGAATTAGATAATAAACAATCTTCTACAGGTGCAGAAAATGTACCTTGCCAAAGATTATCTATAATATAAAGGTGATCTTTGAATTTACTAAAATTAAAATTACTGATTAATGGTGATGGTGATAATGACGATGATGACGATGATGATAATGATGATGACAATGATTTTATATGATTGCTACCACAATCAGATTCAGTTCCTTCGTGGGATAGTCTACTATCGGCTGATTGAGAACTCTTTTTTTTCCTTAATTTGCGCCTTTGATTTTTTGAATGTATAGCCCCCATCTTAACTTTTTATTATCGAGTAATTATATAATAAATCTTTTACTTGAAAAAATAATTTAAAAAAAAATTTTTCCAGAAAAAAATTCTAAAATAAAAATGGCTTACCATTATTTTTATACTATTATTATTCATTGAGAGATCTAATAATTCAACAACTCAATTTAATCTTCACAACCCCTGATCATCATAATAATAAAATTCATCAATCGAAAAATACAGATTTTTTTAGTTTTAATTTCGTTATATAGAAAATCTCTGCACTCTAATTGATATATACAGCCTTTAAGTAATTATTTAGAGAGAATGATAATTATTTTTGTTAAGGAATAGATTGATTTTGTATAATTAAATCAATCGTTATTGTTATTATTTATGACATGGCAGTTTAATACCTCGACTTTGACCTGATGAAAATAATTTACTGAATACGATAAAGGAATTAAATTTTAACCAATTGTTTTGTAATTTAAAAAAATTTCTAAATAAGGTTAACTTTCAATCAAAAAAGTTTTCATTGCGGTATAAAACTCGGAACGTGTGCATGTCAGCGTAACCCAAATGAGCCTTTGGCTAAACTGACTAACTATTTAGTCATATTACATACAGTCAAAGATGTTATTACCCTAGATGGAAAATACCACCAACGTTATTGGCTAAATCCCACGCAGATCCTTCGTTAAATAAATAATCTTGAGGGAGCTTTATTAACTGGTAATATAACCTCCAAATTACAGGATTAAGAAATATGAGCATGTGATTTGATATATATCATACTAACCTATTTTAATATTTATGCAAATTCAAATAATTTTCCTTAATCCTAATATCATTGATATCTATAAAAGAATTGATAGTAAAAATAATCGATTAATAAATATTATGTATGTTCTCTCTTACTATATATAACTAAATTGTTCGTTTTACGCATTGAATATGCATTACATAAAAACCAGAACAATATTTTCTAATAATCCATAAAGCAATAAATGTATAAATTTAATATATATGTATATATAAGTAAATTATTTTGAATAAAAAAATATATTTTAAAGTGATTCTTACATGTGATAAAAGTAACTTGGATCATATTCGTTGATTGATAGGTGACTGTCTGAAACTAGGAGTTTGTTTGTTCTACAATTACTATTACTTTGTTTTAAACTAATGTATTTGAGATCCAGGACTTACTGTGAAAAGAGATTAGTTGATTCTAAAATTGGAAGTTTTATTCTTCCTATGGGTTATTATTATTAATGGTAAGGTTCCTGACGACATTCCTCTTTTTTAGCTCTTATTTTACTTTTGAAGTCTTGGATGATTCTCTAATGATATTTCTAAAATACACAGTATAATTGATACAACAAAAAAATCTCTTATATTTTACCTTATAAAGTAAATTATGATTTCTATTTTTTGATTTATCAGAAGTTTCATAATTATCAGAAGTTTCATAATTATCAGATGTGTAATAATCATCTGACATAATATGTGGTAAATTATTTTCCAAATTAAAGCTCGGAACGGTTTGGTCCGACTCGGTTTACTCTTTGAACCGAACCGTTCGGAACTTTATGCTAAAAACTATTTGACAATCCCTGATATTCCAATTTTTGCGCTCTGCTTATTTAGTATTAAATTTATCGATTTCAACTTTTTATAGCACCAGTGTCCCGGTTGGACGAATTTTTTCTGGAGGCGCAGACTTAATTACTCAAAGATGTTGTAGTTTAGAACCTGAAACAATGAGAGTTTAAATGCGTCTAAAAGTTTACGGAGACGATGAATTTTATATATGAATTGAAAAAAAATATAATGTCCTTGGAATTTCGAATTATTTTTTCATACGTTATTATTATGAATTTGAGTATTCGAATTACATTGAAAATTTAGTCGAATAAAACCATAGAAAAAGAAAGTAATTGACAATATCACAAGAAATTTAATTGATAATCATCAAATATTTTATAGTTTTTTCTTTGTATTTTAATTACATCTTTGCCAAAATTCAATATATAAACAGAATGATTTTTTTTAAAACTTATTATTTATGATGCGTTAGAAGTTATTCCTTGAGGCTGAACCATTGTCAAATACGAATCGTTTTTACTTTTGTCAAATCGTCAAAATGGCCTTTTGTGAGAAACTACCTTTAGTTAATATTTTAGTCACGTAATGACTAAGATCAAAAATTTCGTAATATACATTCACCGTATAAGGGACTTTTCCAGACAACAATAACGGCGATAATAAGAATAATCTATTTTTTTTTTAGAAAATGCTTTTTCTTGATAATTTCACGTGCGAATAATCAAATTTTTTTTATAATCAAATATTTGATGGAAAATAACCATTGGAAGAAATAATGGGGGTTTAACATCAATGGCTACCAAAATTATCATTATTCCACTACTTAATTAGTAAACAGAATATTATGAATGCCTTCTCAAAGACATTATTGATTATTTTGGTCATCTTTTTATGAAGAAAGATGCACTATTGCCCCAAGAAGGAAATTATAAAACATATTAAAATTTTATTTGTTTATCCCATTAATCTTTATATTAATTATGTATCTAATATAGTGTCTATTATGACTATTATAATAAAATAACGCTTTACTCATTATAATATCCTTTTTCAAAAAAAAGATGGTCTGAATGATATGACGCAATGGGAAAATCAAGGTGGGAGAGGGCTACGAGTTCATTGGATAAACTTTGAGGAAACTTTCAGGCCAATCTCAGGTCAAATCATTTGCAAGTAAATAAATGTTGTTCAGGAATAATAAAGTCAATTTTCAAGTGAAGCTTGACCTCAATTGCACTCTAAATAGTTCTAAAGATATCTGGGATGCAGCCTGAAAATAATAATAACCTACAAAGATTTCTGATAAAAAAATAAATACAATAAATACAACATATTAAGCTTAATATTAAGGTGCCAGATTTAATAGAATATCCTCTCCAACATGCAAGTGCTGTTTCATTCATTATTTTTCTCTCGGCTTGAGAGTCCTGAAAGTTTGGCATCTAGAAAGGGAGGATTTTTAATATAAATTTTTTAAGGAATTGCAAATTATTTGTTGTAAATTTAAAAATATAAATAATAAAAAGGAAATATATATCAAATGACAACATCATCAATTGTCTTCACTGCCCAATCAAACAAAACAGCTACCGTAAAGGGAGAGTTTCTCAGATATTTATATATAATCAAAAGCTGCAGTTGAACATTTAACCATTGTTTCTTTGAGATGTGGGGATAAGAGTATGTACTTGAAAAGTTTGTATCAATTATTCTTGTTATTTCATATAGTGACGAGATGGGTTACTCGTACAAAATTGATACAGTCAGATTCCTTTAAACAAAAGATGCGATGTTGGGAGCAGATAAAATTATTTGTAAATACATCTAATAACGCTAACAAGGACGTGAATACACCAATACTTTATAAAAGCACGTAAACAGATAAGAAAATAAACAAATAAATTGAGTCTAGTCAAACTTGTTTTGGGTGGTTTATATATTATAAGAAAAATTACCCTTTGCTTTATCTCAATTGGTATTGACAAAGATGAACATTTTGAACATATTTGGTATATATTGATGCTTAGATTAGATGTTTAGAATGCTCTTGTAATTTGAAGAGTAGTTGGGTTGGTAAAATCATTAAATGATAATCATTATGTTATTGGTGCATCACTATTTGTTTTTTTTTCTTTATAATTTACTAAAAAAAAAGAGCTCATTATATTAACGACATTTTTGAATTGTTTGTTGTACATGGGAAATTATATATATTGTTACACTGCCGCACGGTAATTTATAAATTAACTGTGAATTTTCTTTTGTAAACAGTAATTAAATTCGAAATACTTCTATCCTTATTTTCAAAATCCCAATATGCAAAAATTATCTCTCGTAGTAATTCTATCGTTTTTTTCCTTCTCGCTTCTCTCTGTTAAAGTTGGAGCAGTAGATAGTGCGACTTGTTCCGCATATTGGGAGCCATACAAAAAGAATGCGACTGATTGCGATACACTTTATCCCAATAAAAAAGATACCCCAACATGTTCATGTTCTCAAGATTACGTTGACGCATATACTTGGTAAATAAAGACATTTGACTGAAGGCTTTAAATTCCATTTATTCATATTTCATATTAATTTCCCGGTCATTATTACTTTTTAGCTATTTCCTCTGCGATCAAAACTCTGTTAATCCTGATAACTTTTCTGGGCCTCAAGGTAAGACAAATTTTATATTAAATTATTCCTTATCCTTTTATATTTTCAGACTTACTAATATATTTCTTTCCAAAAATCAATAGATGTATTGGATGATTGTGCCAAGATGAACTACACTGGATTGACTGTTCCTTCCGAACCAAATTGTCCAAGCAGTCTCGGAATCCCATCAACAGCTACTGTTACCTCAACCTCAGAAGTTCCTAGCGATACGACCCAACATAGCACTCCATCCAGTGCTCTCTTTAGTTCTAATCAGCAAATAAATGATAATAATAATAATAATAATAATAATAATAATAATAATAACAACAACAATAACAACAACAACAACAACAACAACAACAACAACAATAATAATAATAACAACAACAACAATAATAACAGCCAAAACTGCAACATAAATGTTACCGGCACAGCCAATGTCAATTGTAATAATCATAGTAATTCCCCTGCAACTATTATCACTACTAGATTACATTTCCTTAGTGGTTTATTTTTGATTGCTGCATTCATTCTATTGAAATGAGAAAGGGCAATAAAAACATAATCACTGGTGACTCATTATAATAAAATTGTAAAATATAGACAAACATTTTTATAAAACATCATGTATTAAAAAGTACATTATATGCAAAAAGTAAATAATATTTAATTATTTAATTTATAAACCTTCAATTGAGTCAATTTCAAGTAATGCTCAATTGAGAGCCCCAAAAACTACTAGTTCTCTTTATTACTGACTTTTGAAAAAGCAAAATGGCATATAACTATTGAAACTGGAAAATGATTGTTCGTTTTATGTCAGAAAGGTGCTTTTTGATTTAACTTGACAGTAGGTCAGTGAGTAGGCTGTGTGTTGAGCATTAAATAACCTATTAATTAAGAAACTCAGATTTCACGCTCGCTGCAAACGTTCAAATAATTATCACAATTATTTAAAACGTTCAGATATTTATTTAACAATGTTAATGACCTGATAATTTTATTATTGTAAAATTAAATAAAAGTTATCTTTATTTGTTTGAATTTTACTTCTTTAAATAATAAAAATACAATTCTTAAATATAAATATAAATCATAAGAAAATAAATAAATAAATAATCTATATATTGTATGGAAGCCTATAGACTTCCCGGAAAGTATGATCATAATTTAAATATAACTTCTTTGATTATAAATAATATAAATATAATAATAATATGATTATATTCCCCACAATATAACATAACAATATAATATCCACATTCCTTAATAAAAATAATAATGATAACAATAATAATATATGTATAATTCTTTAACAAAAAATCCCGATTGCCAATTAACTTTAATTAAATGATAAAAAAAAATGGATTCCTCTGATTACCAAACATGGTAATAAAATTAATTGCCATTTGTGTGACATATTATTTCAAGGATTGTTACATTCTGCTCCATGTTTTGATTCCAATTAAGGTATTTATAAACATATCAATGCAAATAAAAAAAAGTACCTCTGGTTAGTTATTAACGCGTCTTCTTTAGGAGAACCACTCACGTTTTGTCACCTTGGGCTCTGTCAAAAAATAAATTGTTTTTCCAAAAAAAATCAATCGCGTCACAATCTTTGTACAACACCAAGTGCCCAATAATAATATGGTGCAGGTCACCTAGCCTAGTCCCTACAACTTTCAATCAAAAATGCAATAAAATTTTTACAGTCACGTGTTTTAAAATAGATTTGTCACGTTGCATTCTCTTTATTAGTATCACGTGAATAAGGATCTGCAATACAGATTTCAAAATAAAAAATTTGCGTGTAACACGTCACTTTGGGGGATTAACATAGTAAATTTGTTAAACTTGTGCTTAATTCCTCCACAATATCAACAACATGAAATATCAACAAAATGAAAATGTCATTTTGTAGAAAAAGGTCTTAGCTTTAAAATGACATCTTGTTTTTTTGGTCACGCATTTCCATTTTGGAGGAGTTAAAGGTTTTGCAAGACTAATAAAAGTTGTAGGGACTAGGTATCCTACACTATAACAATATTTTTTATTTTTTTTTTAAAAATAAATATTAATTCGAGTTATTCATTTGTTTATATTTGATACAGTAATAGTCTCTTTCGTTTTAATAATATTCATATAAAGAAATTTTTTTATCAATCAATTACAAAATGCCTGTTTCAAATAAAAAAACAAAAAAAAATAAAACAAACACAATAGCAGACATCGCTGGGTAAAAGAATGGTGGTTGTCATCACTCTAGTTCAATCAAAAAAAGATAACCCACATTGTTTTTTAATGTTGCAACAATAAACAAACTAAATCTCATTACCAACTTTTTTTAAATGAACAATATTGGTAAGCCTATTAAAAATATTGCTTTGAGTTAGTTCATTTATATATTTTTGCAATTTATTTCTTTGTATATTAATATGTTTTTTAGGTTAACAAAAATAATTGAAACATTTGAAAGAAAATTAAGAATGATTAATTATATAAATGACAAATTAATTGATTTATTACTATAATATCCTTTTTTAACATTAATGGTCACAAAGAAATCTTTATACACATGTTAAGCTTTAATCAAATTTTATTATGTAACTCACCAGATATAATGAAAATAATGTTACATTAGAAGAAATAGTTGAAAATTTTGAAATGTCTGGTATGACAGTTTTGTATATTTCTATATTTTTAATAAAAAATGGTTTAATTATTCACTAATTAATTTTTAAAATAGAAGATTATTTAAAAGATCATATAAATATGATCATTCAAGTAATTCCTGGATGGATTTGGTTCACATGGGATGGAAATAGAGCAAAACCAGAATCAAAATTGATCAGGGTTGGCAAATTGACTGGTCCATTGAGAACAGATGGATTTTGGACTGGTCCATTGCCATTAATAAAATACTAAATATGGTTAAAGGGTTACACTAATGGACCCAATGGACCATCAATGGACCACACATTTGCCAACCCTGAAATTGATAATAAAAATTACAAGCCTGAAGAAATCTACTTTTCAATAAATAAAAAAAGGAGGACATCAAGTGGTGGCATCAACAGTCAATCAATTTAGATTATTATTCATCAAAATTATTCATTGAGTTGGAAAAAATGAGTGAATTTTTATAATTTGGAAATTCTGTTGATATAATTAATATATTATTTGCAAAATTGAATAAATTTTTATTTTTTTAAACTGCAATTTCATTAATATTAATATTTCTTGTGAGAAGTCATTTTTAGTTTAAAATCTTTGATTTTAAATGTAAAAGATTATTTTAGTATTCTTTCATATTAGCAATATAACAAATAATAAAACCAAATCATTAATCTTATAATTTTTTCAACAATTCTTTAATGCTAATTTGGTGCAGATAAATAGTTTTATTAGTTATGATTCCCTCTCTTGCTGGTAAATTTCATAGGTAATCCTTTCTTTTCTTAGATAAGCTTCAAGTGTTTGAGTATCATTTATTTTGAAAATATAAGGAGCAATTTTCTCACCTTGTTCCTTTTTTAAAATACTTCTAATGGTGCTATAATACTTGGGTTCCATGGTAGACCTAATGTAAATTAACTTCATATTAACTATTTTTATATATGAGCAATTCTATATATCACTTAAGATAGCAAATGGGATATTATAAAACTGTTAATTATATAATCACATTACAAATGACT